CTCTGACTCCTGGCAGGGCTCGGGGGACCATATGGATGCCAGGGATTGAACCTGGGTTGGACATGGCAAGGCAAGTCGCTGACCATTATACTGCCTCTCTGGCCTCTGACCCCCATGCGGGGTGTGGTCACGCGCCCCAAAGGGCAGGCAGCTGCGAGTCAGTGGAGACACTGAGGCCGTGAGTGACCCCCCCCAAACAGCCCAAGGACCCCTGCCCCCACCCCTGTCGTGTTCCTGCACACTCAGAAGTTTCTGGAAGGCCACGGTGGAGCCGTGGGCAGGAATGGGCAGGAGGCCCCGCTGGCCGCTCAGCTGTGAAACGCGCCATGACAGACCGACCCTGCGTGCTCTCCTGCTGATGGGCTGCCCGGGCTGGTGCCAGGCCTGTCCTGGAGGGTGCCAGGGCCTTCAGCTTCATCTCAACTGCAGGGTGGGGCTGACGGGAAGAAGCTGGTGAGCTCAGGTTGGTGAAGGAAGGAAGGAAGGAAGGAAGGAGCGAGCCAGCCCTGGTATCTGGCCTGTCCAGCTGGGGGTGACCCCACTGGCCCCACGTGTCTGCACTCCCCCCTCCCTCAGGTCCTGGGTCTGTGGTGCAGGATTGGGGGTGGGCAGAGGCGCATCCCCAGGACCACACTGGCCGGTGGGCTGGCCAGGGCCGCAGGGAGGGGCTGGGGAGTCCCGGTGTCACCCAGCACGGCTGTCTCGGCCCAGCTGTCCTGTAGGGGCCAGGCCAGGCCGGGCAGTGCCCCCGTGGGCGGGCAGGTGTGGGCAGCACGCCCCTCCCCAGCTTGCCGTGACCGCTCCCTGGCACAGCACCCACCGCACCCCTCCTGGCCTGAGTGTTTCTCGAAGGTGTTTTCTGGAAGAAAGCAGGAATCCTCGCAGGATCTCCGCGGGCCCGGCCGGGGAAGGTGGTGCTACTGGCTAGGCCAAGGGCCTTTCTTTACAGTCGAGTTGAATGGCTCTTTTTGCTGTTTTGTGTCTTGGACCACACCGGGTGATGCTCAGGGCTGACTCCTGGCAGGGCTCGGGGGACCATATGGATGCCAGGAATTGAATCTGGGTTGGACATGGCAAGGCAAGTGGCTGACCTTTATACTGCCTCTCTGGCCTTTGAATGGCTTTCTTTCTTCCTTCCTTCCTTCCTTCCTTCCTTTCTTTCTTTCTTTCTTCCTTTCTTTCTTTCAGGGGTGGTCACATCCAGTGATGCTTAGGGGTTCCTCCTGGCTCTGCACTCAGGAATTACTCCTGATGGTGCTCAGGGGACCATATGGGATGCTGGGAATCGAACCCGGGTCGGCTGCATGCGAGGCAAGCACCCTCCCTCTGTGTTATGGCTCTGGTCCCACTTTTTCTCTTTATTTCTTTTTCTTTTTTTCCCTTTGCTGTGTGTGTGGGGGGGGGGAGTCTTGGGCCACACCTGGCTGTATTTGGGACTCACTCCTGGCTCTGTGCTCAGGGGTCACTCCTGGCAGAACTCAGGGGCACTTTCTGGTGCCAGGGAAGGAATCCGGGTGACTGAGTGCCAGCAGGTGCCTCCCTCCTAAAGGAGCAGGGACGGGCCTGGTATCTCTCCCGCCTCAGCTCTGCCTCAGCCGGGAGACTGGCCGGGAGCGGGGGAGCCGGTGGGAGGCTCGGGGGAGGATTGGAAAAGATCCACTTCCTGGCGGTACTGTCTGCTAACGACCTTGCAGTTCTCTCAAGACCAATGCTCCATCATTCCTGCACCCAAGACCGACAGCAAAGGGGTTTGTGGGTGCCTCCACCCCGTCGTCGTCCTCCTCCAAGCGGGTCCCAGCAGGCAAGATCCACCGACTCAAGGCCTTAGAAATGTGGGGTGCAGCACCCCAGCCCGCCAGCAGGTGGCAGTAAAGAACAACAAAGTGCTCTGGGTGCGCAGGGCCTTGCAGGGGGACTGGGGGCACAGGGTGCTGGGGTGCCGCTCCCGCCCCAGGGCAGAGTGAGCCCCCTCCCCTCTGAAGCCACCCACTTCGCCCATCGCTCATAGCCCGCTGGCTGCGCACTCCGGGAGGAAGGAAATGCCAGTGTGAGTGTGAGTGTGAGTGTGAGTGTGAGTGTGAGGGTGTCTGACGTGTGCGGTGTGTGGTTTGTGGACAGATGCGGGCGGGGGGGAGGGGGACAGGCTGTGCCTGTGTTTATGTCATTGGCGTGCATGCGTGTGCAGTGCTGGGCTGTGTGTGCGTGGTGTGTGTTGTGTGCAGTGGTGTGAACTGTGCATGCGTGTGTTGCTGTGTGGCTGTGCAGGGTTGTGTGTGAGGGGGTGGCTGTGTGTGCAGGGAATACAGGTGTGAAGTGAAGGGATGGGGGCGCCGGGGTCGGGGTCGCGAGGCTGTGGAGTGGGGAGGGGTCTGGGAGACACCTTCATGCTGTTCCTGGAGTGGCCAGCAGAGGGCGGCGTCTCCTCCGCTTTCCAACTCCTGAGGCTGCGAGCAGGCCGGGGGTGAGGCGGGTCTGGCAGTGTCTGGGGCCAGGGTTGAACTGGCCCCTTGCGCCGCTCCCGGCCCTCAGGGACCCTGAGCTCGTGCACTGAGAATTCAGTGGCAGAAAAGGCCTTTTTGAGGAGCGGCCGGCCAGGCCCGGCAGGGAGAGAGGCAGCCGAGGGGAGACTGGGCGTGGGGGGACGCCCCGGCTGGACATGTGCCTGGACACCCCCCTGCTGTCCAGGCCAGAGCGGCCCCTCGGCATGGGCCTTCCCACGCCCTGCCTTGGCCGGTCCCTCCTGCGGGGGCTGCAGCCCAGCTTCACAGGGCCTAGGGAGGGGAGCAGGAGCCAGCCTGGGCCCCGCCCAGCATCCCATGTGGTCCCCGAGACCCCAGGAGTGACCCCTGGGTGCAGAGTCGGAAGTCAGGCCTGAGAACCGCTGAGTGGGGAGAAAAGGGGGAATTCTATTTTCAGGGTGGGGTGAGGGGAAGACAGGCCACAGCAAACCCAGCCCAGTAGCAGCGGCTGCTCAGAAGCTTCTAGAAAGGACCATTTCCTATGTTCAACCTACACCCCTTAGCCCTGCCTCACCCCTGCATCCCGCCCCTTAGCCCTGCCTCACCCCTGCACCCCCCACCCCTTAGCTCTTCCTCACCCCTGTGCCCATTGGCCTTTCTAGCGGGTGGACATCAGCTTCCTGGGGACGAGGCTGGCCTTTGGCATTGGCCTCTCCTGCCCTGCTAGTGGTGGGTGCCCGAGACCGGGGCTTACTGGTGTCCCCGCATCGAGAGTGTGACCTCAACCAGGGCCCAGGGCCCCAAGCACCCCACAGAGCCCGGCCCAACACGGGCCTCCTGCTGGGGCCACCTGCGTCCATGCCCGTGTGCATGACCACGTCATGCCTGTGTTCATTAGTGCCTGTGTCCGCGCCCCTCGCCATGCCCGCTCCTGTCCGTGTCCGTGTGTGGGGCGAATGTGCCCCACGGTGGTGGACGGTCTCCGGGTCTGGAGCAGGTGGCAGGTGCCAGCAGGGCCCTGGGACGCGGGGGACCCTCGTCCCGGAAGAGACCGGCTGGGAAGTCTTGTGGCCTTTGGGGGCCCGGGGGATGGGGCCTGGAGGGAGTGGGCACCCTGGCCAGGGCAGACCCCGGGCCCCCCTGGAGATGGGAGGAGCCGGCCTGGGGACCCTGGACCACTCCCGGGCTGAGGGGCGCAGGACCCCCGTGGTGATCAGGAGTGGGCCCTGGGGGACACGTGGCGTCCTACAGCCCCGACAGGAGGCACAACAGCATGACAGTGACACGTGATCAATATGACAGTGACACATGACCTGTGTGGTAGTCACACGTGATCAGCATGATGGTGACACGTGATCAAGGGCCCAGGAGCACTCTGTATTGATATTTGCCCAGATGGGACCCCGGAGGCAGCTCAGTGGTGAGGGCATTTGCTTAGCATGCATCCGACCGCGTTCATCCCCGGCACCCCGTACGGCTTTCAAGCACCGCCAGGAGTGACCGTGAGCACTGAGCCAGGAGTAAGCTCTGAGCACAGCAGGGTGTCACCCCAAACCAAAAAACAAATGAACTGAAGGCGCCCGCACAGCTGCAGGCAGATGGCAGCTGGTGGCAGGGGCGCGTGAGGCGGGCCGACTTGGTCCCCGTCCAGTGGGGCGGCTGCAGCCTGAGAGGTGGAGGAAGGAGGGACGGGAGAAGCCCTGCTCACTGCCGTGTCCCCGCGCACCCGCTGTCAGCCTGGGTTCTGGAAGCCCCTAGGCAGGAGCCCTGCGCTCGCTTGCCTGGCCTGTGGTTGCTGGCTGGGGCGGCCCCGTGCTGCACAGGGTGATGGTGTTTGCGAGCATTTCTGGGAAATGAGCGCAAAGCGCAGGCGACGCGTGATGAGAGGACGGAGAAGTTTCCGGAGTCAGCAGTGGTGAATGTCACACGCGTGAGGGCGTCTGTGCCTTGGCGGCTGGTCCCCGCACCCACATGTGGCCGGGCTGTGTGACTGGAGCAGAGAGCACCAGGGTTGCTTATAGGCCACCAGATGCGCCCCGAGCACGCAGGGGACTGCATGAGAGAGATCCCGCTTGGAGAAAGGGAAACAGGCCGGGCTGAAAGACCCCCAATGTCTTTTACTGCAAAACTGGGTCCTGGGCCGGAGACGTAGCACAGCAGGGAGGGCGTTGGCCTCGCACACAGCTGACCCGGGTTCGATCCCTGGCATCCCATATGGTCCCCCGAGCCGCTCCAGGAGTGATTCCTGAGTGCAGAGCTAGGAGTGACCCCTAAGCATCACCGAGTGTGACCCCCCTCCCCCGAAAAGACCAGATCCTGTCGCTGTGCACGGGAGTGGCCCTGGAGGCCAGCCGCTGGCATCCATCCAGATGGTCACCTTCCTCCATGCTGGGACCTGGAGGGACCTGGCCCGGGGCCCTGGCAGCCCCGTCCACTCCTGCCTATTGGTCATTCTTCGCTCTGACCCAGGAGTCCGGAGCCCCAGGCCACGCGCCACTCTGGGGAGTGGGGGCCGGAGAGTGACACCCCCTCTCTCCGCAGTCCCCGACAAGGTGATCATGAAGGTCCTGGGCCCCCGCCTGGACCGGCCGGACTGCGTGCAAAGGGGCTGGGTGCTACACGGCTTCCCCCGGGACCCCGACCAGGCGCGACTGCTCGAAGAAGACCTCGGCCACAAGCCCAACAGGTGAGCGGGCAGGTGGAAAGCACCCTGATGAGACCCAGGCGTGGCCCCCGGCCGGGCTGGTCTGGGTAGGCATCAGCCCCACCGTGGAGCCGCCCCCACCGTGCTCTTCTGCGGAGTAGCCAGTGGGGTTCGGGGAGAGGACAGCGCCCCCTTCTGGATGATGCTGTGCTTGCCCTCGCTGCGGGAGTTGGTGGCTGCCCCCAAAGGCCAGCGCCGGCCAGGCCCCACCCGTGCCAGGGTGGATGCAGATTCCCGCCCCTCCAGCCCCCGTTTCCCAGGAGCCTGAGACACACATTTATTCTGGCTCCTCTCTCCCTCTCTCTCCCTCTCTCCCTCTCTCTCTCTCCCTCTCTCTCCGTCTGTCTTTCTTTCTCTTTCTCCCTCTCTCTCTCCCTCTCCCTGTCCCTCCCTCTTCCTCCCTCTCTCCCTCCCTCTGTCTCTCTCTCTGGGTGTCAGGCTTTCCCGTTGGCTGCTCCTCGGCTGGGCAGACACGACCACTTCGTCACCTCCTTTCTCACCTTTACACTTTTCTGCCTGATGACACTGGACGGGCCGTGCTGGGCTCCCGGCATCCCTGCTCAGGGGGCCTCTCCCTGCCAGCTTGGGCCCAGCTGCAGTTTCCAGAAAGTCACAAGTGTGGCTCTGCCAAGGGGCCTGCCGCCCGTCTTCGCGTTATGAAAGGCCCGTGGTGCCATCCCGCCGCCCCCTCCCCCGACACGAGGGGCAGAGGTGCCCCGCACCCCACACCTGTGGACGGGGGCTCTGACGGATGGGCCGTGGCAGGTGCGGCCAAGGTCACTGAGCAGATTAAATCAGATCATCCTGACGGCCAGGGCAGTGCTGCGGGCCCAGGCAGACAGCTTCCACCCGAGCGGGCCTGAGACAGGCACGCAGGGTTCTGCGCCGCGCCTGGCTCTGTGAGGAGACACGGGAGGGACCCTATGGGTGCCAGCGACCAAACTGGGCTTGGCAGGGTGCGAGGCGCACGCCATGGCCCCTGGGCTGTTGGCTGTTGTCTGTCCCGTCCCTCAAGGTTACTCTAGCAGGTCTGATCTACAATAGCCTCCGGTTTCCTGACTTTCCTTCCAAAGGGAAGCATCGTCTCTCGGAGGCACTTGGGCCACACCCTCGGGACTCGGGGTCACTCTGGCTCTGCAGGGATCACTCCGGGAGGGGCTCGGGGGACCCTCTGGGGTGCTGGGGATCTCAAACATCTGGCTGCGTGCAAGGCAGACACCTCCTCACTGTACCCTCTCTGGCTCTTTTTTATTTATTTTATCTTTGTAGGGGACACACCCAGCAGTGCCCAGGGCTTCTGGCTCTATGCTCACTCCTGGAGGGGTCTTGGGGACCACATGGGGTGCTGGGATTGAACCCCAGTCCACTGCATAGAGGGCAAACGCCCTTTCATCTCTAACATCTCTGGCCTCTAGTCGTGATATTCTCGTTTTTTTGTTTGTTTATTTTAGTGACTCTCATTTGCCTTTGAATGATAAGAATAATAAGAGAGCTGGAGAGATAGTCCAGTGGGGAGGGCGCTTGCTATGCGGGCGGCTGACCCAGCTTCGATCCAGGCATCCCAGAGGGTCCCCTGAGCACCACCAGGAGTGATTCCCGAGTGCAGGGCCAGGAGTAACCCCTGAGCACCGCAGGGTGTGACCCCAGAACAAACACATAAAGAACAGTGAGTGTGAGTCTCCTATTTCCCAGAGCTATAAACCGGCATCACAGGGCAGACCTTCGTGGGTGGCCTCTCGCGCGGCTGAGCCTGCGCGGGGACTGTGCGGGGTTTGGGGGAGGGGTGCACTTCCTGGGGCGCCCGCAGCCCGGGGTCAGGCCTCTGGCGGAGGCAGAAATGGTTCTGGGTGTCAAGGTCCTGGGCTTAGGTCAGATGGGGAACCACGGGGGTCCACACTAGGCTCTGCCTCAGGCGGGAGAGCGCCCCCTGGTGACGGGGCAGGGGGCGCAAGACCTCGTGTCACTCCCCACGCCTCTATGCACCTGGGTCCTGAGTGTGGGGGTCAAGGTCCCACGAGGCTAGCCTCTATTTATGCCAACGCGAGCGACCTGTGTGTGTGTGTGGGTGGGTGCAGTGCCACCTCCAGTGCCCCAGGAGCCTTCAGGGGTGGTGGGAAGCGCCCCCGGGCTGGACAGGAGCCAGCATTGGTCTTCCGAGCCCCAACACTGACCAGTGGGAGGGCAGCACGGGGCGGACAAGCACGCAGGAGAGAATATTCCAGAAGCCTTTGGTTCAGGCAGGCCTGCAAGGAAACCCTTCTCCACTCACCACACCTCGAAACCAGCCTCTCCAGACCCTGCCAGGGGCTGGAGCCACCGTCCAGCAGGGTGGGTGTTTGCCTCACGTGTGCGCGTCCTGGGTTCGATCCCCAGCACCCCATACGGTCCCTGAGCCCCGCCGGGAGTGATCCCTGAGCATTGCTGGATGGGACCCAAGAGCAAAAACAAACAAAGCAGATTCTGTCGGTAGCTGAGTTAGTCTCTTGACCCGAGGGTTGGGAAAAGTGGGTGAGTCTCTGCCCCCCTGGGAGCGATTTCTTTCCCAGCCCCTCCCCTTCAGTTAAGCCTTTTTTTTTTTTTTGGCTTTTTGGGTCCCATCCAGCAATGCTCAGGGGTTACTCCTGGCTCCTCACTCAGAATTACTCCTGGCGGTGCTCGGGGAACCATATGGGATGCTGGGACTCGAACCCAGGTCGGCCGTGTGCAAGGCAAACGCCCTGCCCGTTGTGCTATGCTCCAGCGCCCAGTTAAGCCTTTTAATGATTGACTCACAAAGCAATTCTAACAATATACCTTCGAGTCCCCAAATCAGCTAAGGGAGAGCGGACTGTCCTGCAGTTCACCCCACGCCCTGCTGCGGGGACAGGCATCAGAGCCGAGGTTCTGAGCTGGGCGAGGCCAGTCAGAAAGCGGCTGAGCCGCGGGTTGCTGTTCTCGATGCCGGGAGGAAATCCTGACAGAATTATGGCTGAGAAATCAACGTGGGTGTGCGACACACAAATCTATAACTCAGCCCGAAACCCTCCACAAAGAGTTCTTCTTTTTTTATTATTTCCTTTTTTTTTATTTCGGGAGGGTTCGATGAAATTAGATTAAAATAAATTTACATATATATCAATTTTATTATTAAAATATATTCGCACGAGTAAATAGAGTTCCTGGGAAGGGCAGGTTTCTCTGGGTATTGGAGCCAGAAATAGACCCTCTGACTTATCAGAAAGCAAAGTTATTGTCTCCTGGTCAAATATAAATCTCTTCTTGGAGCTAATAAATGGGGAATGCTCCAGCGTGGTGTTTGCCTGGCTCCTGCCGGGGCGGGCACAGAGCACTAAATTGCGTTCCGTGGAGCCACACCGACCCCCGTCGCCGCATCACTCCGGGAGGCAACCAGCCCAGTGATTGATGTGTCGGGAAGGTGGAGTAAAAGTTATTTGAGAACAAATAAAATGGGCCATAAAGTTTGTTAAAACGTAGTAATAATAGTAAGAAGGGTGTGGGTGCGGGCGGGGAGGCAGCGGCAGACACAAAGGGCCGGCGGCCGCCCAGCCCCTTCTCTGTCTGGAAAATAATTCATCGCGCGGCGCGCGGGTGGCACACGGCTCTCGTCTAAAATTAATGTTTGCCCCCAGAGGGAGGCGGTGTGGGCCAGCATGCAGAGGGTGGCGCCTGGGTCCAGGTCCCCTTCCCCTCCTTCCTGGACTCTTGGCGGTTCCCTGGAAGGAGGCCCGCCCACCCGCACCCTCCCTCGGGGCTCTGGACGCCCCATCCCTTGGGGACCCGCTCTCCTGATGTTCGGTGCGCTTTGGCCGCTGCACAGTATAAGTGCACGGGCTTGAGTGTCCCCAGCCAGGACGTGGCCCGCGGCCTGGGAGCGCCAGGTGCCTCCCAGACCCAGACCCAGGGGCGCGGGCGGAGTGTGCTCTTGGTCTTGATTTTATTTATTTATTTATTTATTTATTGCTTTTTGGGTCACACCCGGCAATTCTCAGGGGTTGCTCCTGGCTCTGCACTCAGGAATTACTCCTGGCGGTGCTCGGAGGACCATATGGGATGCTGGGAATCGAACCCGGGTCGGCCGCGTGCAAGGCAAACACCCTACCTTACTTTTTTTTTCCATAATTTTATTTATTTATTTTTCTTCTTATATTTATTTATTGAATCACTGTGGGAAAAGTTACAAAGCTTTCAGATTTAAGTCTCGGTCATACAATGATCAAACACCTCTCCCTTCACCAGTACTCACTTTTCACCACCAAGAACCCCAATATATCCCACCTCCCACCCACCCAATGCCTGTGAGGCAGATGATTTCTACTTAACTCTTCTCTACATTGATTACACTCACTATTTCGACAAAAGATGCACCATGATTGTTTAGAATGGCGGCCTTTCACCTCAGTCTTCCCTGCTGTGACACGGGTGTCACCCCTGCACTGGCCGTGGCAGAGTAAACCTGGAGAGAACTCTGTGCGTGTGTATGTGTGCGTGTGTGTGTATGTGCGTGTGTAAGAGTGCATGGTTGTGAGTGTGCGCGTGCGTAAGGATGTGTGCATGTATTTTGCGCACATGTGTGCATGTGGTATATATGCATGTATGTGTGTGCATGTCTGTGCATGCCTGGTTGTGAGCGCGTATGTGCGCGTATGGATGTGTGTGTGCATGTGTGTGGTGCATGGTTGTGTGTGCGTGTGCCTATGCAGTGTGTAAGTGTGTGTGCGTGGTTTTGAGTGCATGTGAGTGCATGTGTACGTATGGGGTGTGTGTGTATGTGCAGGTGCAGGTGAGCCTGCAGGAGGTAGGGGTCCCCGGGGGTCTCCACTGGGCTGCCTCTGCTGGCCCACCCCTCCCTCCCGGGACTCGCTCAGACCCTGCAGGTCTGTGACACTGAGGAGTGGGCAGGTGGGGCGGCTCTGACTCCGAGGGGGTGACCATGACGCCTCTGTCCACTGTGATCGTCCCTTCACTGCAGCCCTGCTGGCTTCTCTC